GTGTGTGTGTGTGTGTGTGTGTGTGTGGCCAGCTCAGCCCACCAGAGGGCAGGGCTGGCTGGCATGTGGTGCTGGGGGATTGAACTGCAGTCCCTGTGCTTTGCTAAGCTTGTTCTAAGTAGGTGCTTTAGACCACTGAGCCATCTCACCAGCCCCTGGTCCCTTTTTAGAAGCTTACTGTTACCAACTGTGATGGTACATGCCTGTAATCTCAGCTACTCAGGAGGCTGAGGCAGGAGACCTGTAAGTTCAAGACCAGCCTGGGCAACTTAGTGTGACCCTGTCTCAAAAATGTGAAAAAATTAGGCTGAAGTTGTGGTTTCATAGTAGACCTGTAGGGTAACACACACATACACACACACACACACACACACGCACGCACGCACGCACGCACTCACACAGGTTTCCTGTTTTTGTCTGCTTTGTCTGAGGTGATAGTGGAAAAGGATGGGGTCCTGTGTGTCCACGGTGGCCTCAGGAACTTCCTCCCCACCGTCTGCTCACATCCGGGTTCTGGGACCCCTGCCCCTCCATAGGAATCCAGACCGGCAAGTGTGTGGTATACAGCGGGACCAAGAAGACCTGTGAGGTGGCCGCCTGGTGTCCCACCGAGACCGTGGAAGAGGCCCCCCGGTGAGACGTGAAGGAGGGAGGAGGGACAGACACAGCAGTGACCACAGAGGACTGGGTCTTCTGGGCTTGGGGACCCCTGTGCCAGGCACGGCGCTTGGTACCCTCCAGCGCCCCCGAGAGGCCGTGCCAGCTGCTAAGGTGTTGAGCTGGTTCTATGTCAGTTGGCACCCAGTGACTCCTGTGCGTGCCCCCGGGTGCCCGGCACCTTCGCTGGCCCTTCTGACCTTCCCTGTAGCGCCCCTGCAGAGTGCTGGGGCAGTTAGTGCCACACTGAGTAACAGGGCAGGGAGGAGGGGAGGAAAGAAATGGGAAGGAAGAGGGAAAAGGGAAGAGCGAGTGGAAGACACAAGTTTTCTCAAAAGCTCACAGGCCAGAGATTGCAAGGCTGCCGTATTAATCCTCTAACACCCCATCAGAAGGTTAATCTCAGGAAGTGCAGGGCTACCTGGGCGTGATGGTGCATGCCTGTAATCCCAGTAGTTGATAAGCTGAGGCAGGAAGATTATTGCAAATTCGAGACCAGCCTGGGCTTCAAAAGTAAGCTCAAGGCCAGCCTGAACTGCACAGCAAGACCTTGTCTCAAAAAGACAAAAAAAAAAAAAAAAAAAAAAAAAAAAAACACGGATTCAAATCCTGCCTCTAGTGCATCTATCTATGTGAACTTGGAAAGTGACAGTGGCACTGTCACTGAACAGCAGTTGCACCTGCAAATGAGAATGCCCCTGTGGGGCTGCTTAAATCAGATGATCTTGATCAGATGTTGTAAAGTGAGTTGAGTGCTTGGGCTCTCTCTCTCTCTCTCTCTCTCTCTCTCTCTCTCTCTCTCTCTCTCACACACACACACAGAGTTGGCCCACATGGTGGTTCTAGGCCAGCACTGTCCAACAGAACTTCCTATAATCGTGGGGATCTTCTGTACTTCTGCTGTCCAAAGTGTATGACAGCTATGTGTGGTTACTGAGTACTTGAAATCTGGCTGCTGCACCTAAGCAGCTGGATCAAGCTTTGGCTGAAGCCAGAAACTCTAGAGGCCTCATTTCCTTTAGGGAAAAACCCTAAGCCAGAGTGCTGGAGATAGAGCTCAGTAGTACAGCATGCCTAGCGGGCCGGGTGTTCAAACCCCAGGACTGACCCTAGAAGTTGAAATTTTATCGTTTGCATAGAGAAAAGTCTTAAATTAAATGGACACTGAAATGGACACATGCGTGCCAAATGGTTGCTATAGAGGAGTGACTGAGCACTGCTCCCTGTGTGTGGGACACAGAGCCCCCACCCCCAGCGCCTGGGCTGGTGTGGGGGGAGCCGGGCTGAGGTCTGGGCCAGCGTCACCCTCCCTGGCCCTCACTTGTCAGCCCACATTCATTTCTAGATGGCAGAAGTTGTGGCACAGAGGGAGCGGATGCTATGGGTGGGACACCACCAGAGTGGTTCTTGGTTCAAAACAAAGGAGGCCTTGATGGTCTCTGGCTTTCGGTTCTGCTCTGCCACCAGCCGGCTCCGGGGACAGATGCCACACAGCTCCTGATGCCTGGGCCGGGTCTGCACAGTGACCTGACCTGGGCCTGCGACCCCTGAAAGTCGGTTTCTTCATCTGCTGTATAAATGAGCGAAGATGGTTAATTTATCCATTCAACAAACCCAGCACTGCGTAGCAGTTTTAGATGTTTATTGTGTGTGTGACGTCTCATGTGAAATGTAACAGGCCCGAATATGTATCGGATCCAAAGGCGCTTGCAGTCTCTTAAGCAGAAAAGCCACGCACAGAGGGCTGTACTTCGAAACAAAGTCATAAGCGTCATGCAGGTGGAAAAGGCCCCTGGTCCTTAGAGGACTGCCCAGGTGGGGGCTTAGTGTGTCCTGCACATAGCAGACACTTGCTATAAATAAACTTCTGCCAGTGCAAATGACAGAAACCTAACTTAACCTGGCTCCTGAGAAGCAGGCATCAGTGACTCCAGCAAAAGTGGCATCCAGAATTTCTGGCCTCAGACGAGGCTTGAGGCAGGCTTCAAGAGATACCAGGAAGATTTTTCCTCCTCCCTTTCCACTCTTCTCCTTTATTCTTTCTTCCGGTTTGGCTTTGAATTTATAGGCTTACCCTGTCCTACTAAGACTCCCAGCACAAATGAGAGTCTCTTTCCTAATTGTCTATACACAAAAGAACGTCCAAATGTTCTTAATGAACTAAGTCATGTGACTGCCAGTGACTCAATCACTGTGGCTAAGGAAGTGGACCACAACGCTGCTTAGCCAGCCCTGGGTCCTAAGCCCATGCTCCGGAGGGAGAGTGGCAGAGAGCTGGCTTCCCCACAGAGCGGAAACAGGCCTTGTCACCAGAGGGGCGTGGACAGTGGACAGACGAAGGTGACCGTGTTCACGACAGCAACATCACCCGCAGAGCAGGAGCGTGGCTCAGCAAGTCCTGGAGTAGTAGGCAGTCGGTTCTCAGCGCCCCGTCCAGTAGCCTCGTCCCTTCCCGGTGCCACCGCACACACGGGCAGCAGGCGGCAGCTGTAGCTTTTCAGCCACCACCAGTTTTCTCCCTACTTCGTAGACTGCGTTCACTGCCATCTGCCAGGGCCCAGCTCCCTGCTCAGTACCACCCATAGCTGTTGAGCTCACAGATGAGGGACAGATGATGGTGGCCCTGCTGCAGCCCAGGGCCTGTGCTCCCCTACCTTGTGCAGACCCATGGGCCACACAGGCCTCCTGGGAATGACTGGTGCCATCAACTCGCTGGGTGGCTCCGTGCTGACAGCTGGTGATGCCCAGAGCAGGAGTTACTGTGCTAGCCCTGCAGAGCTGCAGGCCTCCTGGGAGAGCCACAGGCAGGACTGGCTGGAGCTGGCTGTGACTGGCTCCAAGCCAATTACACTCATCCCTTCCTAACTACAGATGTCCCCTGGGCAGTGGGAAGCCAGCCACAGGAGGAGGCTTCACCCCACAGTAATCAGCAAACGCTATTGAAGGCCCTTTCTCCCCTAGAGGGCTGGTTATTAAATGTCTGTCAATATGGCACTGAACATATCTAGATACACAATGACATCCGAGAGTAAAAAAGTGGTGCTATAAATGTCATAGAGTCTCAAGAAGGGAGAAATTCTGACATACCTATAATGCCAGTAGTCTGGGAGCCTGAGGCAGGAAGATCACAAGTTCAACTCCAGCTCCCCAGCCAGGATAGCTTAGTGACTTAGCAAGATTCTGTCTCAAAATGATTTTTTTTTTTTTCCTCCGAATGCCTTCAGGGCAGGTTTGTCTGGCTTAAGTTGTGGGGATCAAACCACAGCAACCTGAGCCTGACTGCTTTGTTGAAGCAGCCACTTAAAGAACTGAGCTAAGGGGCAGGCCCCCTCTCTCTCAAAATGAAAAACAAGAAGAAGACTGGAGATGTAGTTCAGTGTTAAGGACCTGGGTTCATACCCTGGTACCAAAGAGAGAAGGACAGAGAAGAGAGGGAAGGGAAACAGAGGAAAGGAGAAAAGGAGGGGAGGGGGAGGGAGGGAAGGGGAAGACAGGACAGGACACGAGAGAGGGAGAGGTATTGACTCTCCTTGGAGAAGCTAGAGGCTTTATGGAGAACTTGGGTTTGTCCACTAGCTTGCTATATCCATTTTTCTTTACTCATCCCAAAGACTAAACACTAATCTACAAGCTTAGAAGCCTTGGGCCCTGTTGGCCCGTGGGCTGGCCCGTCCAGGTCCAGCAGTCACTGACCCCCACTTCTCTCCCCCAGGCCTGCACTCCTGGGCAGCGCAGAAAACTTCACAGTGCTCATCAAGAACAACGTCGACTTCCCTGGTCACAACTACACCACGTAAGTGCCCAGAATGCCTGACTATCAGTCCCCTGTGCTATGCTGTGTAACAAGTGATCCCACGCCTACGGAGCCTAGAACTAGGAACATCTCGTCACCCACAATCTCTGTGGGTCAGGAACTTGGAGTGTCTCTGTAGATGGCTCAGTCTTGCAGGTTATCATCCAGGTCTCCTTGGGGTCAAAGTCACCCCCACACCCCATGGGGGCGGGGAGTCCGCTCCAGGCTCTCCCTGGTGGTGGCAGGAAGGTGGCTGAATGTGCTTAGGACACTGTGGCTGGCTTCCCTCTAGCAAGGGGCCAAAACAGGACGAGATGGAAGCCCACAGCATCTTACCCCGCGGTGTCCCATCAATTCTGCCACGTGCTGTTGGTCACAGACTGACCCTGGCACCATGTGGCAACATGTTCCACAGGGGTCCCCAGGGAGACAGGAGTCCCAGGAGCAGCCACCCAGGGTCACATCAGCACTGTGACTCTGTCTGTCTGTCTGTCTGTCTGCTTTCAATGCCACCCAGGAGAAACATCCTCCCGGGCCTGAACACCTCCTGCACCTTCCACAAGATGCAGAACCCTCAGTGTCCCATTTTCCGGCTAGGAGACATCTTCCGGGACGCCGGAGACCGCTTCTCTGAAGTGGCTGTGAAGGTGGGTGGGGTCTCAGTGCCACGCAGAGCCCAGGAGGGACCCTGTCCTGCGACCACAAGGTTGGGCCGCAGGGCCTCAAGGGGTCTAGAGGGTCTAAGCCCCGCGTGGGCCCACAACCCTGGAGCGAGCTGCCCGCGATGCTAACTTCCGGTGATCACTGTGACAAATGACCACGGACTTGGTGGCTTAAACAACCACATTTTCTTTATTCCTGGAGCTCACTTCGGCAGCCCATATACTAAAATCGAGTCTGAAATTAGATTCCCTCGCTCTGTGGGCGGGATGAAGGCATCAGCCCAGCCAGGCGCCCTCTGGAGGCTGTCGGGGGGACGCATATCCTGCCTGCTTCAGAGAGGCCTCCTGTTTTTCTCTCTTCTGCTCTTTCACTCCCCATCCCTCCCTCTTTTTGTTCTTTTGAGACAGGCTCTCCCTAACATAGTCCGGGCTGGCCTTGCGCTCACCTTGTAGCCCAGGTGGGCCTCCAACTCTCAGTGATCGTCCTGTGTCAGCCTCCCGAGATCTGGGATTAGGTGTGCACCACCACAGCCGGCTTTTTCTTTCTCCTTCTGCTTTTGCAATACTGCAGATTGAGCCCAAGGCTTTTGCACTGAGCTGTAACCAAAGCCCTTTTTATTTAGATAGTCTTGCTAAATTGTCTAGGTTGGGCTCAGATTTGCTATCCTCCTGCCTCAGCCTCGCGAGTAGCTGGAATTACGGGTATGTGCTGCGGTGCCCACCAGCTCCTTGTGTTTCTTGGCTTATAGCCTCTTCCTTCATCTGTAAAGCTGCCTGGGGCATCAGTGGGCACAGTGACTCCTTCTGGTCAGAGCCCCTGTGCAAAAACACTTGCCTTTAAGATATGAGGATTGTAAGATGGGTGCTAAAGCCCTGCCTGGGTACCCAGGGTAATCTCCCCTCTTAAGACCCTTCATCTGTCTACACTGCCAAGAACCTTCCTTAAATTAATGAAGGGAGTACTGAGAGGTCAGAGAGGAGCTATGGCGCCAACAGGTTCCAACATAATCTTTAATGGGGAGGCACTCAAGATTTGAGTGCAAGAACGATTTGCTGGGTGGTGATTCTTTGACGTTGTATTTGGGAAGTCTGTGGAGCCCAGCGTGATGGCGCAGGCCTATAATCCTAGAACGCGGGAGGCTGAGGCAGGAGGATCACCTTGAGCTCGAGGCCAGCCTGAACTACATAGCAAGCCCCATCCCAGCCACAGCAGCAAAAGCCTGGAAGTAATGTGTCCTACACACCGGGCATGGGGCCTCAGCTCACAGTTATTGCTCTGAGAGCCTTCGTCAGCGCTTTCCCCAAGCGAGGGCCTCTATGTGTGACGGAGTGCTCTGGGAGCTGGCCTAGAGTGTCCCTTGCGGCCCCACACCCACAGGGAGGAATCATGGGCATTGAGATCAACTGGGACTGCAACCTGGACAGGTGGTCCCACCGCTGCCGCCCCAAGTACAGCTTCCGACGCCTGGATGACAAGACCGCCAATGAGTCCTTGTACCCCGGCTACAACTTCAGGTAACAGCCCTCTGGCCCGGACTCGCTGAGCAACTAGCTGGGCTGGGCTTGGGGGGCCCCGGGCCTGGTGGAACTGCACCTCCAGCCATCAGGAGGGTCACTTTGGCTTCCTGGGGCCACAGCACTTGGAAAGCAGAAAAGCACCTAGGAGGGTAAAATCACCCACAGTTCCGGTGGCTTGAGGTGACAACCTCGAGTGAATTTTCTCTTCTTCCATCATTCTGTCCCGAGAAGCATATGAGATGGTAGCGCGCGGGCACACACACACACACACACACACACACTCTGCAGTTCTGGAATTGGTGAGAGAACATAGTGTTTGTGACAATCCCATTCCATGGAGTGGGCGTACCGCTACTGCAGTTTAAAGAGGGTCTTCCTCGTACCAGCCTCTCGCCAGCCCTCTTCACGACCCTAGGTAGTAGCTATTAGTGCTCCTGGCTTAAGCTGGGAAAGGTTAAATGATTTGCCCAAGACCCACAACTCGGCGTCCTAATCCTAACCCAGATCGCTGTGATCCCCAAAACGTACTCTTTCCCTTTTATCTCAAGACTTTCTCACTTATTCTCCCCGTATAATTGAAATTTTGGGGCTGGCCAGATAGCTCAGCGGATTAAAGTGCCCACTTAGGCAGATGCAGGGGCCAGGGGTTTGATACCCTGGCCTGCCATGCCAGCCCCGCCCCCGGGGCACACTGAACCAGTGATTGAGACTGGGCGTGGTGGCATGTGCCTGTAATCCCAGCACTTGGGAAAATGAAAACAGGAGGGTCACTATGAGTCCGATCTGTGTAATGAGACCCTGTAGACCCTGTACTAAATACAAAAAAAAAAAAAAAAAGAAAGAAAGAAAGAAAGAAAGAAAGAAAGAAAGAAAGAAAGAAAATTGGCCTGCCAGGTATAGGTGTCGCATGCCTATAATCCTGGCACTTGGGAAGCTGAGGCAGGAGGATTGCTGTGAGTTTCAGGCCAACCTAGACTAGTAAGATCCTAGCTCAACCTACGGTGCTATCTTTATTTCTAGGAATTTTTTAAATGTGGTTGTATTCAAAGGCATGAACTTCTGTGTGATCTTCTCCTGCTTTGTGGACGCTCCTCTCTCGTCTGCTCCTCTGCACCATTCCGTCCATGCTGGCCTACTGTGTGAGCTAGCCAGCGTGCAGTTCCCCGGGTGGACGCTGGGCTACTCACTGGCAGCTCAGCTGCAGGGGCAGGAACTCAGACAAAGCCCTGCATGTGCGGGGCGTCCCGGCATTTCCCGGAGGGGCAGTGTCATCCTGAGCCAGTCCTGGCAGGATTGTATAGTGCGTGGTCCACGGCAAGCCAGTTTTTAGTGTGATTTCTGGGCTTGAGATTCGTTTTCTCTGCTAAAGAACCCATTCCTTCTCCCTTGCTGGGTGGGGTTTCTGCCAGCCCAGCGCACGCGCTGTAACCTGTGGACGCTGTGCAACTCTAGCTGCCCTGAGGAGGACAGGCTCAGGAAGTGCCTAAGGGTCACAGGGCTGCCACCCCACTGCCCGAGTAGGATCCAGGAAAGTGTCCTTTCTGCCCTGAGTTCAGTACTGTGTGTGTGTGTGTGTGTGTGCGCGCGCGCGCGTTGCTGGGATCAAACCCAGAGCCTCACACATACCAGGGAAGCGCTCTAGCATTGCGCTGCACCCCCAGGCATTCTGTCTTGGACTTCTACGTACCTGTGGTGATGCGGGGATCCTTTGTGCGGTCACCCCTCAGCTCTCTGTGGGGGCCCGTCCTGATAAACCCATCACAGCTGAAACAGGCTGGGTGGAAACTGCGCCGAGCCTGTGCACCCTTCTGTACGCCCCGGCTTAGAAACAGCGCTGGGCAGAGCGGCAGGCGTTGCCTCCCACGGCCAGCTCCTGCCGGGCAGCTGCAGCCTGGCGCCACTGCCCACGCCAGCAGGGGGCATCTTGCTAGCCCAGAAGAGTATCAGAACTCAAAATCAGAAGTGTAAGGGCCGGCCAGATAGCTCAGCGGACAAAAGCGCCTGCTTGGGCAGAGTGCAGCAGCCAGGGTTCAATTCCCAGCCTGCTGTGCCAGCCCCGCTCCTGGGGTACACTGAGACAGCGATCAAGACTGGGCGCACACCTGTAATCCCAGGGCTTGGGAGGCTGCAAGCAGGAGAATCGCTGTGAGTTCAATCTACCTAGTGAGACCCTGTAGACCCTGTACCAAATACATTAAAAAACAACAACAACAACAAAAAAAAACCCCACAGAAGTGTGAGCTGGGTATGGTGGTGAATGTCTATAACGTCCACTACGTAGGAGGCTGGGGCAGATGGAACCACAGTTCCAGGGAAGCCTAGACAGCTTAGTGCGACTTTGTTTACTAGGCCAGAACTGTATAGCGAGACCCTGTCTCAAAAAATAGACAGACAGACAGACAGATAGATAGATAGATAGATAGACAGACATAAATTAAAAAGGTCTAGGGACTTTGCTCAGAGCTTCCTGAGTTCAATCCCTACTACTAAAAAAAAGAAATAAAACCCACGTGTGGTTTCTACTGAACACATTTGACTTCAACACCTTTTTTTTTTCTTTATTTAACTTTTCGGTGTTTCCTTTGTTGAGACAGCCTTGCTATGTAGTCCACTACAGGTGTGTACCGCCATGCCCGCTTTGAGAAGCAATTTAGAAAGCCTTTCAGTACTTATGGCCCAGACCAATGGCCTATATCACGTGGGGACTTAGGAATGCACATTCTCAGGCCCCCTAGGTAGACCACGTTGGACAGGCCCAGGGTGGGGCCAGTGCTTCCTGGCTTGTCACTCTCCAGGCCACTCCTTGAGGCCTGGGAGCTGGCCTGTGTTGTTCACGCTGGTATCTGCCAGGCCCTAGCCGGCACCTGAGTTGGAGACCCCTAACTCCCTCCAGCTTCCTCCAGGTTCCTCTGGTTTCCTCCAACTCTGCATTTTCGTCCGGAGCCCCAGAACTTTCTGATCGTTCCCTGCTCTCTACTCAGTAGACTGAGGCCTCAGCGTGGAGAGAGGCACGTGGAGTCGCAGTCACACATTAGCAGCGTCCCTGAAGTCCTCAGCTCAGCCCAGACACGTCTGATGCTCATGTTCTTCAGAATAAAGCTCGGGGCATTTGTGGCCTGCCATGAGCACCAGAAGAAATCTTTGACCAAGAATAAATTGTTGAGCTCTGATCAGACAAGCTATTTTCAAATAGCTGCTCCAAAGGGAAGGAAATTACAGGATGCAGGAGGCACGCGAGAAAATGCAACTTTCTAAAACACAGTGCGGGGGGTGGCAGCACACACCTGTAATCCCAGCACTCAGGAGGCGGAGGCAGGTGGAGTGCTGTAGGTTTGCGGCCAGCCTGGGCTACAGAGTGAGCTCAAGGCCAGTCTGAACTGCACAGTGCGACCCTGTCTCCAAAAAATAACCTCTCAAAGAGGGAGTTGCAGTCGGTCTCACTGCAGAAGGTAGTCCTCAACAGAAGGTAGAACTGCCAGACGTCCTTCCTCAGGGGCTCTGCGGCTCACCCGGGCCACATCACGTGGTGCAGGGCAGGCCTGACAGAGCCTGGCACGCGTCCCTCGGGTCCCCAATGAGCACGAGTACCTGTCAGCTTTCTGAGGCTGCTCTAACAAATTGCTATGAATTCGATGGCTTAAGTGACACTTATTCCCTCACCCATGCCAGGAATCCAGCTGTTAGCAGGACACTGGGGGGAGGGGAGCCTCTCGCCTTCTGCCAGCTTCCAGTGGCTGTTGGCAACCTGAGCCTGTGGACTTGGGGGCCACACTAACCCAAGATGTCTTGTTGTGACAGCCTGTACTACATCTGAGAAACCCTGTTTCTAAACAAGGTCCTGTCACTGAGGCTAGGGCATAGCTCCTTGGAGGCCGCTGTTCAACCTAGTGGTTTGCAAAAGCACGCAGGGTCCAGTGTTCCTGCGAGTGTGGACCACCGCCTGGCAGCCCTTTACTGGAAATGCAGATTCCTAGGAACATCTCAGACCTTCTGAAAGCTCTCTGGGCTCTGGCCCCGGAGTGTGCCTTCTGGTTTTGGCTTTGTTTTGTGATCTTGAGACAGGCTCTCGCTATTAGTCCAGGCTGGCCTTGAACTCACTATGCAGCCCAGGCTGACCTCAAACTTCCAGTGACCTTCCTGCCTCAGCCTCCTGAGTGCTGCAATGACAAGCGTGCGCCAGAGTTGCCTTTTGAACATATTCTCCACGGGTAATTCTCGCCCTTAGTGTAAGAACTTCTGGAATCAGGCCTGGCAAGTAGAGATCTGAGCACTTACTGCATGATGTTAACCTTCCCAGGAAATCTGCTACTCGCTCCTGTGCTCAGAACAGAGCAAGAGGGCCTCTGAAGGAAGGGCCCTCAGAATGGGATAATCAAGTGTCAAGAAACTGAAACCCTCCTGCCGGGAAAGAGGCATTCGGGGGCCTGGGAAGATCTAACTGGTCTTGCGTCAGACTTTTAGCAAAATGAGTTGTGGACATTCACACTAGGTTGGCAGAAAATCTTCTGTTTTCTTTCCCCCACACCTGCAAATAGGTTCTGTGCTGCCCAGAGCAAAAAGGCTTTGCCTTCCATAAAAGGACTGGAAAAGGTGGCGAGGGGGTGGGACGTAATTAAAAGCATCGTGAAGCAGATGGTTTAAATCTTCCTAATTATTTATGAAAAAGAAAACATACTTTTCCTGGCTACAGCACTGATGAGAGTTTCCTGTTTGGGATGATCATGGTTTGTGCCAGCGCTTAATGTTTGAGGTAATTCAATGAGACAAGGAAGACCAGGCATGGTAGCATGTGCCCTTGACCCCAGAACTGGGGAGCTGAGTCAGGAGGATTGCTGTGAGTTCCAGGGCAGCCTAAGCTACATAGTGAGTTCAAGGGTAGCCTGAACTACACAGTGAGACCCTGTCTCAGAAAGAAAACAAAGAGGGATGGGGAGATAGCTCAGGGGTCTAAGTGCCTGCCTGGCAAGTGCAAGGGCCTGGGTTCAATCCCCAGTACCACATGCTATGCCAGGCCAAGGTGTGCCAGCCTGAAACCGGCTGTGGCAGTGCATGCCTGTAATCCCAGCACTGGGGAGGCTGAGACAGGAAGGTCATTATGAGTCCAAGCTGCATAGTGAGACCTGTATCAAATAAAAGATTTTTTTAAAAAAATTTTTAAATGAAGAAACAGTTGTTGCAGATGTTTCCCAAGGGATACAAGCAGGCTGCAGGGGCCAGGGAGATGGCTCAGTAGAATAAGTGCTTGCCTGGCAAGGGCCTGAGTTCAATCCCCGGTTCTGCAAAAAAAACAAAACAACAACAAAAAAAAAAAAACCCAAAAACCCGACAGCCTGCACCTTGCAGGCCACAGGGGAGCAGTGGTTGTGGTCAGAAAGCAAATTTGTGCAGAAGCAAGGAGGGTTGGGGAGACCGTTGAGGACAGCCGGTGTGACTAGTGACAGCTGGCATTGGGTCACAGGGTGTCTGTGCTGGCCTGGCCCTGGGTGGGTCAGGGCAGGGAAAACTGACTTGGTAAGTGGGAGCTCCTCGGAAAACGCGCTTGGGAGTACGCACCAGGGCTGCCCGAAAGGTCCCAGTCGGGTTTGTGTGTGCTCACCACAGCCGGGTTGCAGCGGGGTGTGCCGCGCGTTCTCGGCCTCCAGCCGCGGTGGGCTGAGCAGGCCCACGTCTCCCGAATGGGTGGGTGCTGAAGGCTTGAATGAGCCAAGTGGTATCATTTTAGGGCTCCAGAGGATCAAAGCCCTCCGACAGAATTGAGATCTTCTGGGGCTAAGACAAAGATCTTCTCTGGGTGGTCCCTATTTACTTGGCTATCCAAACAAGGGAGGGGAATACTAAGGAGAGGCAGGAACCAGGACGTCCCCAAGTGGGACTTTCTGTTGATTTAGGAGAACAGGGAGGACTCCACCCTGGAGCGAGATGCCTGGAGCTCTATAGTCTTTATCTAGTTGCCTGAGCTTGGAGCCAGGTGGCCTTCTTTGGCTGTGGCCTTGTCTTGTCTTTTGAGGCATCCGGGTGACCAGTGACTCGCAGAGGATCCCTTGCTATGAGTCTGCTGCCCATTTCCTAAGGGCCCAGGCAGCAGACTCACACACAGAAAGCTAATTGGTTAATATCGACCCTGCCCAGAGCTGCTTCATAGTGGTCGTCAGCAGGGTAAACAGTGCTGGACCTTAATTTGCTTCCAGGGTCCAGGGGTAGCGGACAGTTCTGCACAACTTTGCTAAAACTGTAGAAAGGACAGTTAGGACAGATGCTGAAATACACCTGTCCCCCACCCTCCACCCCAATCTCATGACTGGTATCTAAAACTTGTCCTTTGTCCTTCCTTCCTTCCACTACCACTTTGTTCTAGGGGCCAAAATATTACGTTGCTTAAAGTGGTTTTTTGTTTTTGTTTTTGTTTTTTGTTTTTTTTTTTTTTTTTGTAATCCTTTGCTTACTGTTAATACTGTGTTATTTAAACTTTTGTTCCTCTCTCTCTCTCTCTCTCTCTCTCTCTCTCTCTCTCTCTCTTGTCTTTTTGAGATAGAGTCTTGGGGGAGATAGCTCAATGGAATAAGCACTTGGCTGGCAAGTGCAAGGGCCTGAGTTCAATCCCTGGTTCTGCCAGAGAGAGGGAGGGAGAGGGAGAGAGAGACAGAGACAGAGACAGAGACAGAGACAGAGACAGAGACAGAGAGAGTCTTGCTATGCAGTTCAGGCTGGCCTTGAACTCACTGTGTAGCCCAGTCTGGCCTCAGACTCTTAGCAATCCTCCTGCCTCAGCCTCCTGAGTGCTGGGATGACAGGTGTGCTTCACCACTCCTGACCTGTCCATTTTTTTTTTAAATTTATTTATTTAACGGATTTGGTACAGGGTCTCACTGATGGGTTCGGGCCCTAGTGTAAATAGCTGAAATACTTGCGGTGGTCATCTAATATGGCCGATACGCTTAGAACAAAGGTCCTCGCTCTCAGGACCACCTCCCTCTTCTTCTCCAACTTAGCCCAGGACATAATTTCCTTTCACCCTTCCCGCTGCCTCAGGGAAGACCCCCAGTCAGCTCCCTCAGGTATGCCTAAATATCCCCTCCAAGCTCTACCCCTGGCAAAAGGCTATAAAAGCCTCAGCCTCCCTTTGTCTAGTTCAGAGAATTCCTTGACCTCCCCAGATTCTCTCCTTGTCTTCAAAGAAAATAAAGCCCTTTCCTTTTTCCTTCTGCCTGTTTCTCGGCTGCGCCAGGAGCCTATCACTCACTGCGCAGCTCAGACTCAAAGTGATCCTCATACAGGGAGGAAAAACTGGTCTCGGGTGGACAACCTCCCAGTGACACAGGGAGCCTCCCAATGACACAGGGAACCTCCAAATGACAGAGGGAAAAATGATCTCCCAACCTGACCTGGACGAGTTCGTGTTCTCTAAAACCAAAGAATGAATTTTAGGAACAAATGGAGGTTATGAGCAGAATATATTTATTGAGGGAAAGAAAGCTCTTGTCTGAGAGAGGGGCAGGAGGGGGCCTGAGCAGGTGGTCCCCCGGAAGCTGTCTCTTCCAAGAACTTCTATAGAATAAAACCATGCTGTGAGGTGGCTCTAAGGTGGAGAGAATGGGAACTCGCTTAGGTGGACATGAGGTGGGACAAAACTATGGTCACCCAATGGGATTGCAAGCACCATTGCTCAGGTAAAATTAAGTCCACGACCAAATGGGGAAGCGAGTCCCGTAGCAAGCGGGCACGAATGTAGAACAGGACTGTATCAGGTAGCCATCCCGTAGAAGTCGGATTAATGATTCTTCTGGCTCTCTCAGGGTGATGATCAATCTTGGACGCAATCCTTAGGGAGGTCCGTGTTTGTTTGATCTCTGGTCTTTAGGTCTGGCCCAGGCGGGAGCATCCATCCCTGCCAGAGTTGTAAGGTATCTTACCTTCTGTGTTGTCTCCTTCGAGGGCCTGGCCCTGTCTGACTGCCTGTAATATTTCTATCTAACTCGGCTGCCTGCAACAATCCTCGTTTTCAGCCTCCCCAGTGCTGGGATTACAGGTGTGTGCCACCACGCCTGAACTGGATTACCAGCTCAGAGCACCCGAGGGCAGGGCCGGCACAGCATGCGGTACCAGGGATTGAACCCTGAGCCCTGCGCTTGCCAAGCAGGCACTTAGTCTGCTGAGCTATCTCAATGTCAATTTTAACACATTCACAACAGAGCCATAGTCCGTATGTCTTGCTGCCAGGTGGCCTGAAGCACTGGTGGTGCGTGTGTGACTGTCCCAAGCATGCCTCTCCCGTATGTGAGTGTCCCACCTGTCCCACCAGCTGTGCCAGCTGCCTAAAACGTAGCCAAGAAGACAGCATCGGTGACTGGCTTCGTTTTTCTTTCCATAAAATGTCAGCACTCTCAAAGAGATCAAGATAAATACGGGTCCTTTCCCTCCTGCAGGTACGCCAAATACTACCGGGAAAATAATGTGGAAAAACGAACTCTGATAAAAGTCTTCGGGATCCGTTTTGACATCCTGGTTTTTGGCACGGTGAGTCTCCAAGTCCCGTCTGGATGGGATAAACAGGACAAGAGTGTCACACTGCAGGTCCCACAGTCTCTGCCTGGAGAGCAAACACGAGGTCTGACAGTGATGCCCGGATGTGAGGACAGTAGAGCGTGGCTCTGAATTCCACTTGGTAACTTGTCCCTCTGTGCTTCCAGGGAGGAAAATTCGACATTATCAGTCTGATTGTGTACATCGGATCTACCCTTTCCTACTTTGGTCTGGTAAGAGATTCTTTCCCAGTTTTAAGAAAATGGAAAGCCAGGTGCAGTGTCACACACATGTAATTCTAGCACTCTGGGAGGCTGAGGCAGGAGGATCGCTGCAAATTTGAGGCGAGCCTGGAACCAAGTGAGACCCTGTCTCAAAAAATTTTTTTAAAGGGGGAGGGAGCCAGGGGTGCAGCTCAGAGGTAGACATATGCCAAAAAGAAGTCTCGGGCTGGTCAGATGGCTCAGTGGTCTAAAGCACCTACTTAGCACAAGCTTAGCAAAGCACAGGGACCACAGTTCAGTCCACATGCCAACCAGCCCGCCCCCTGGTGGGCTGAGCTGGCCACACACAAATAAATAAAAATTAAAAAAGAAAAAAAAAAAGAAAAGAATCTAGGCAACCTAGTGCACACTGTTATCACAGAACTAAGAGTGTGAGGCACTGGATCACCTCGAGTTCAAGGCTAGCCTGGACTTCATAATGAGTTGAAGGCCTGCGTGAATTAGAGTAAGATACCAGTCTCAAAAAACTAGGTAACTAACGAAAGAAAGAAAGGAAAGAAGGAAGGAAAGATGAAAGAAAGAGAAAGAAAGAAAGAAAGAAAGAAAGAAAGAAAGAAAGAAAGAAAGAAAGAAAGAAAGAAAGAAAGAGAAAAAAGAAAGAGAGAAAAAGAAAAATGGAGCAAAGATAGGGAGAATTTGAAGGAGGAAAACTGGTTGGTTGAAGATTAGAGATAAAAGGACAGTGAGGTGGGTGTCTCATCCTCTTTGCCTT